GCCCCAGTAACAGAGGACTCCTAGACTAGGTCCGTTTAGCCCTGTTAATATACCAATATTGTATCGAGCATCCCTATTTAACACGATCGGCTCTTGTCTCACCGAGAAATTCGACAAGCCGAGGTATTTGCATTGATTATATCGGCCATGAACTTTATAAGATGAGCCAGCTGTTGTGCAATCTGTTAGCACATCGTGTACATACAGCCTCCTGTTTTATTTCTTAAACCCTCTTACATGTACTTGGTGTTGTTTCCTTAAATAAGATAATGAAGTTCGAGAGACGGTTTAAATGAGAAACTTACAGAGTAGAGGGTCCAGACGTTCCTTGAAGCTCTTGTTCCTCTTCATCCTCTCCACGTCACTCTCGTCCGTTTCTAACGGCATCTCCCATTCGGAGGAGTCGTAGTTTTGGTCCTTCCTAGTCTCTCCGGTCTCCACCCTCTCGTTCTTCTTCTCCACGTTGTCGTACGAGGAGTTCCTGTCGCTGTATAGCGACTCCGACGTGTCTGGCGGCTTTAACAACTCTGGGTACCTTCGATCGAAACATGACAAAATGCGATCCATTATTCGAACGCGTTGCAATGAGAACATAATTAATTATATGTAAAAAAATGATAAAATTAAGAAATACGTAAACCGCAATGTCGACATTTACACTATGAGATATCGAATTTTTACTTTAACTTGGCTTCCACGGTTTTTACAGGTTTTTATTACAAATATAAAAATAAATCGTTAAGGTAGTGATAGCCGAGTAAAACAGTTTTGTTCTAATTTTGACCAATTGTTAGTAACAACATTATCTACCAGTAGCTAAAATTTTAAGAAGCCTACCGGTACAGTTTGAGAGATATCAATCATTAAAGTTTTGATATTTTACCCGGAATCCCTGTGTTAGATGAAGTTCAAAGCAACGTTTTCATGTATTACAGCTAAATACGTCTTACCATTTTTTCAAACAACTAATATGTTATAAAAGACGTTGATGTTGAATTATATTTAAAAAATGAATTATCTCAGCGGTATCATTTAAGAACTAGATACTTGTAAAGTGCAGAATTTTGTATGAATTTATAGCAGAAGACACGTAAGCGAAATGATAGTATGTAGATCGGGCAACAGTGAACTCGAAGAATATCAACTCTGTTATGTGTTGAGAGAGTGCAAAGCAATAATCATTATACGTGTATAAAGAATGCAATATTGCCAAACTTCCACACTCTCGACACTTTGTTATTATTGGTGTATTCATACATGACTTATGACAAATATGTCCATACAGTCAGATTGAAAACTTTCTTGCCGATCGTGTGAGAAACGGCAGCAGCGTGCAAGCGTTACAGGGTACAAACTTTTGAGTAGGAACGTAGCTGGACTATTACCTTAAATGAAAGAATGAAACACATATTGCTACTGCTAGAGTGTAAAACAGATTCCTGTTTAAATTTTAAAGCGATTTCAATAGGAAAGCTGGTGCTAGTGCCAGGAATACTTTTTTCTATTTCCAATCGACAGTTCCAAGCCAGTCGAACTGTATTGGCAATGGCAATGACGTTAGATGGACCTGTTCGGAGACTCACCGTTGGAGGATGATACTCTGAACGGTCAAAGTGTTCCCAACAACGTCCCTATCGCACTCCTCGTCCGGAAACTTTCTTGCCACGTTGTCGCCCTCGTAATCCGCATCACAGTCGTAGTCCGACTCGCAGTCGTCCCCTTCGTTGCCTGGAACAGGCATTATCAGAAGTCGTTATTGTCCCTATCGACCCGGTTCTCTATATCCATTCTTTTAGGGAGACAGGAAACTTGTCAATGAATCCCCTACTTCGTGGAAAAATCAATAGCTAGTTTTCCCACGAAAGACAATGAGTAAAGAGACTAAAGAGGCAAAGAGAGTAAAGAGAAAAGAGACAATGAGACGACCTTTGAGACCAAAGTTTCCTGACCGCGTTACGCCATCTTCGGTGCCTCCTGAGTCAATGAAATTACGAGATAACGCGCGTTAAACACGAACAGAGATCAGATCATGCGAATAATCATACGTTCGTATCTGCGTTTAGAATTATACTTGTTTTTCGTTGAACCGTTTTCGTGCGATCACGGAAAGATTAAGTATGATTGACAGACGCGTTTTAAACTAATCAATCACTCACCGATGAACTCCCAGCTGGAGTCGACGGCCCACGAGGTATCGTTGAACACCTTGGTTTTGATCTTTGGTGGTTGCACCGGCTTGGCACGCGGGATCTTCTTCGTCTCCTTGGCGCCGAGCCTCTTGGTCAAATTGTCCATGGAAGAGGAGATCAGAGGAGTCTTGTCTTCCGTCTCTTCCGGTTCCTCCCAGTCGATCGGATGCAGCTGATTGACGTTGCTACCCACGGGTGCCTGCAGCCATCCCGGCTCGCTGTGCCGAAATTTGTTCATCGCTGGATTGGTCCTGGGACGTCTTCTCGCTATTATTGCCGCGTTCTGCGCGATCGCGTCCGCCGGTTCCGCGTAAAACGGACTACCCTGCTTCGATTCCGGTGTCAACGGACTGTTGCTCTCCGATTTGGCCAGCATCAGTCCCAGTTTGTTTCTAGGAGGTGTCACAGTGCTGGGGCTGTTCAAAGAATTCGCACTGCCTGCGCAGATCAAAGAACGACGATCGATCTCCTTGGATCTTTTTAAAACAAACGGTTCGTTTATGAAACACTCACAAACTCGAGACAGTAAGTCGGGTTTCCTCCCCATTCCCGTTTTCTCCGGCGAGCCGTTGCTCTGCTCTACGGGCTTCGCTTCTTGGACAGGCTTGAAACTGCTGAACTCCGGGCTGGTCATCTCCTTGTAACTCAATTTCTCGTTCCCGATCGACTTGTCGTTTCTCACTATCATCCTGTCGTTCCTCACGATCAACTGCTCGTTCACGGCCAGCCTCTCGTTGAAATTCCTCTCGCTCGTGACGACCTTCTCCGGGACCATCAGTCGGTCGTTCGAGTTCCTCAGCCGATCCTGAGGATTCGCGTCGTTTCTCGCGAGTTTATCGTTCGGCGACCACGTGGAATGATTCGACTGATCCGTGGTATTCCAGATGTCTTCGTAGTCCGAGATCTTATCACCGGGCGAGCTACGATAGTACGATTCCAGGATATCGGATTCCTGATAGTGTTGCGAGTTTTTACGGGCCTCTCGGTCCCGTCTCCGTTTCGACTTGCTCGTGCTCGACGGGGTCGTGGGTGAAAGAACGTTCGGCGTCTTGGCGCCCGCGTTAGGGACCAGCTTCGACAGCGGAGACAGAATCGGGGTCGTGGACGACAGAGGAGACTTCACTGAGAAATTCGACGTGAGAGATCTGTTCGACGTCGCGCTCTGCGGACTCAGTAGAGACGTGTTTGGGTCCGACGGGGTGTTCTACAACAGTTTCATCAAAATTAAATGCGACTCGATAAGATTCGTTGAACGGCAAACGTAGAATCGCAAATCACCTGCGTGCTGTCCACGTCGTTCGCTTGATTTACATTGAACGTCACCGTGGCGGTGACGTTGAAATTGTTCTGACTCGCCGCCGTGGGTTTCGCCCATCTGGGAGGAGGAGGAGGAGGCGTCTTTACGTTCTGGACCGCGTTGTGATTCTCCACGATGTTTCTGATCTCGGGTAAGATGGGAGACGTGGTGCGGGAGAGATTATTGAACATGGAAACGTTTTGATGGAAGTTGCTGGTCGACGTGCTGACGGAGGTGAATCTGGTCCTCGACAGTTCGAGGACCGTCGACCTAGGAGTCTCTGCGTTCTTCGGCTCGAAACCGACCTTGTTGTCATGTATGGGACTCAGTACGTTGCTCTCCACGTTGTGTACCACCGGCGATGGGCAGCGCACGCTCTGCACCAGGTTCGGTGAGATCAGTTTCTGGGACAGCTTATCCGGCGAGATTTTCTCTTTTTTTGAGTCTAAGGGCTCGTTGAAAGTCGTCAGGTTGAGGGTGTTTGGCGGCGTCGGGCGAGGCTGTCGCGGCAGCGACGACGCGAACGTCGACGTCGTGACAGCCGTGGGCGAGGAGCTTCCTACGCACCGAAATAAAGCGACGACAGATTATTTTTGGTCTTCGGCCGTATCTCGAGTACACCAATACCTCACTTTGCGTCGTGGTTATGTTCCAAAAAAACACGACACAAATTGAAACGACGCAAAGTGAATTAAGATTTTCTATAGCAAACCATGTAAAGATCGAAGATAGGTTTCAGGG